GTGAACATGCGCTCAATAAAACTCTTTTCAAAGTGTTTCCCACCAAACTCTATGGCTTTTCACAGACCACAGCAGTTGGTTGCAGTCTCCTGTCCGCTTCTTTATCCTTCTGTCCTGTTCCGCGAGATGTGCTTCATCTGATGGCGTCATGAATAATGATAGTCGCTGTTAGTTCGAACGATATAACCAGTTGTACAGAATGGTACGAAGCAGGTCCTTTCTTTCAATCGCCTTGACTTTGACATTCTATCATTGACCTCATAGTTCCCGTTGGGACAGGCACAGAAACACGACAACCACTCACTCACCCTTTGACGACGTGAACAACAAACGCACCACCCGGTAATAACACTGAAAAACATGAAAACAAAAATCCACGCAACAGCTGCAAATCGGCTATGCGGAGCAGACGACACACTCTGTCCACACCCTCCCGCTTGGCAGCGCCCCCAGCGGCCACCGTGGGCATCCATCCAAATAGGTGCTACTCTCCTCTATTGAAAAAAGCTGGCAAACTGCACACTAGCCAGTATATTCTAGGCACTATAGCCTAAGTGCAAGCCCTGCACAAAGACCTCGGTCAAGCATCAATCTGAGGCCAAATAGAAGGAAGTGGCCACTGTGCAAAATTTATAGTCAACCTCTGTGATCAACACCAGAGCACTATGAAGCTATCCAAGCCCGCTAGTGCTACGAGTGTCACATTTTAACAGTTTAAGAGCCATACTCGGATAAAGCATCATTGCTACAATATCTTGTCATTAAAGCGACAAAACACGCTGAAAGATACTGACAAGAGTGCAATAAGGGACAAGGGATAAGAAGAAGCACAGACGAGTGCTGAACAGCCTTCCTATCCCTTGTTCCTTGTTGCGCAGTTGTTGGTATAAATGAGCTAAGCACAAGCAATGCTCGATAAATCTCTAGTAACAACGGCTGAACAAGAACGAAAACAGGGGGATGCATGAAACCATGCTTATATAATGACAATAGAAGAGATCTCGTAAAAAAAACAACTAATGACTACAAATAGCTTGAAGCAGTGTAAAAAATGAGGACAAGAATCGAGAATGAAGACAAGATGAGCACAATAGCACTCATGCTGTTGTGTTCATTAGTAATTCTTGTCCTGATATTTTTCTTGCCACGAGTTATTTGCAAGATGAACTGACTCGCCCAAACCAACACGTTGTTGCTAATGGGTGCAGTGACATTTGCAGAGCTATTTATGTGTGCTATACACAAGCTCATGCTAAGATTTCTGCAAAATTAATTACCTTTGGTGAATGAAACACCTTAAAATACATAATCTTTGTTCATTATGGTTTACATAATATAAAAGGAAGAGCAGAATTATTAAAATTAATACACCATACAAAACAACAAAAACCAGGTAGTAACCATGAACAAATATCAATGAGATCAGCATGCTTCAGTTTCATTCACACCTGCAACTAGCACCGGTTATACGACCATTCATGGCTGCCAACCAAAAAGTGACTCAAGGCAATTGATGTTCACACCTACTAGTGAGACTTGTATGTAGTATATCGTGCACCAATGAATGATGCGATGTGACAATGCCATATGTATTCAAAAGTGATGTTTTTTTCTTTAGTTTTTTGCTACCTAAAGTCAACCCTAGAGCTACATCGTATACCGAAATTCTATTTTTTTCTTCCTGGACACTATGAGAAGTCGCCTTATACGTTTATGGTCACATTACAATCGAGTACGTACGGTACCTTTCTTTTAAAAGCCTAGACTTCCAGGCAGCCTTCTTGTGTGCATGGAACACCTTGGAAGTTCTGAGACTACAACCCAACGACTGAAGTGGTAACTGCTCGCGTTACTACTGCCTTGCTGACCTCCTCTTCCTGATCTGATAAATAAGCTAATGTCCTGTTCTGTGTATTTGTTTGGTACAAAGGCTTGCCGCTGCACTCTTGTGACTGAAAAATTGAGCGACAAGTGATTGAGCCAAAACAATGGTTTTTATAGACAAGTGGCCATTTGCAAACATTTGCAACTAACATAATCGCATGACCATTTCTAGTTGCATGTGTAAATGAGCCGTTGTGCTACTTTACACACTTCCAATACTTACGGATCGAACTTATTTCCATTTAACTAGAGTCAGTAGCAGCAAGATGGCAGTAATAGCAACCATATGATCATAGTAATACAATTGCTTGTGTGGCCATTTTGTGAATTTATATGACATATCAGGTTTCATGTTCTCCAGCGATTTAATTTCCAAAGAATTCACTGTGTGGGCACTTAATTACGTGATGGCACTGCTATGACAATGCGACACCCCAGCATTGATTGCATCACCCAATTGCATGTTGGCATAGCAAACTGTTAAAAACAAATCACTGCAGAATAGTTCCTGGGGCGGAGTACATACATAAATCTTGGCTATGCAATGTGCACTGGGTATATCAATAGTTTTCTTATAATACATTAGAGTGAAATCTGGCACTAGTGTTTATGGGAGCTGCAATGCATGGCACCTTTGCCACCATTGGAATGATTGGGTACTACACAGATTTGTCTAAGCTTCATTCTTTTGGCTCCATGTGACTTGGAGCTGCTTTGTCTTAAGACGAAGCTCAGCAAATGTTCAGGAGGTCCACTTAACAACCTTAACCTTTCTAGACTCACCAATTCAAAACTGCTCACGGAGTTCACACCAATCTATTCTTTTATCCGGAATGCACACATAGGTACTTTTTACAGGCATCAAGTGATGTGTGAATAACAAATGACAACATCAAAGTTTCGAGCTCAAGATAATTGTGTTCTTTCATTCTAATGCATGCATGTGTACCTCGGACTGAGCATTAGCAGCGAGCATAGCCTTGAGCATATCTTAATACGGTTTCAAAGTAAGCATGAATGATCATCCAGCTGAGCTAACAGTACCTGGTAATGTCTTCATTAACTTATTAACATTACATTTTTAGTGGCTGCTTGTGCTTTGCTGTGATGTCTCGCCCCTTCCCCAAGTAATGATGGCATCACAGACAAGCTTGCAGAGCTCACACAGCAGCACCTTGAGTAGCAAATGACAATGGCTTCTGTTTTTCTTCCCTAGTTCTGCAGTCCAGCTGATCTCTAATGGTTGTGGCTGCTAATGTCAGTGCCATTATAAATGGCATAGTCAGCTTGCTGTCACACCATGGTAAGATTTCAGTCAGGTGATATATCATTTAAGCACTGAGTATTGCTACGAAAAACATGCAATTGATAAGCAACCTTACCTGTACTGTACTGTCTCCTTGATGAGAAGCCTTGCTTTGTCTGGGATGACGAAGTCGTCGTCCATGTCGACATACATGTCAAAGTCCTTGTCGAAGACCTAGTGGAAACATAATTCACTAAAATGTACACACCTCACTCTTCCTAAATCATTGCCAACTTTTTTATTTTCCCAGCATGATCTTTCGATGAATTATTAGTGCACTTAACAAGTAGACTAATTTAGCTAGACATGTAAACATTGCACGAGTGCTTTGTCGCATTTTTAAAGTGAATTTGCACATTTTACAACACCTGAGCAGACAAAACAATATGGAACTATCAGCACAAGTCACATGAAACCATATTATAATGCCATTAAGTCACACTGTCCTTATTTTTATCTCATGGAGTTAAGTGGTGAGGTTGGCTGATATATTAGTTGATAAAGCAAAGTATACATACTTGATAACATAATGTCCCTGCTATATTTCTTTTCTTGGAATTGGTAGTATGAATGAATAAATAAATAAATACAGGTCAAACCTATATGTAAAAAATATTAATGAACTTCTTTAGCCTTTTGTGTTATTGGCAAAGCTGTATTAACAAGGCAGACTTCAGCATTATAGTTTAAGAAAACAATTTCAGGCAATTGATGTTTCTGGAAATCAATTGAATTCAGCATCAGTACAGGGAAATACCCTAGTATGCCTTTGATTGGATATGAATGGATGGAAAAGTTGTGTTCGTTTTCCCAGCTACTATAGCTGAATTGGCAGAGCACTGTATGTGTTATCAGAACGTTGTGGGTCAGTTCGTTCACCTACTTGAAATTCCTTACATTTATGTCATAGTTACTATACATGTAAAAAATACAATTAATGACCTTTTTGCCTCCCTTTGCTTCACTGCCTGCGAGTTTAATTTGGCTGCGTACAATAAAAAATGAGACCTTCATATCCATTCCCTTGCAGTCATCGACTGATACAGCAAAAGTGTTGCGCATGTGTGATCATTTCAAGCAAGTAGCCTTGACCACAGACTAGTGGTTGTCAATTTATGCTCTACATTTTTTTAATACTATACGCTGTTACAGCGTGAGTGGCATGCGCGTTAAATCAACCTGAGCTCACGCTTTGCACTGCGGGAAGTGTAACATCCTGATCCGCGCGCTCCTTCATTGAGCACCACGAATGCTGCATCCTACTCTAGTGACACTCGAGGGCGGGCTACCATTTGTGCGACGAGTACTTTTTTTTTCATTAACCCTTTCCTGCCTTTGCTTTTGTCATTTGTCCCTTTGGTTCTGTACCACAAGGAACCTACAATGAGGCATTAATCACACAGAAATTACGTCAACTTTGTTCACCTCACCTTCCCCCTCCCCCCCACTTCCCGCGTGCGCAAGCCTGTGGACTGTCATACAGTGTGACAGGAACATAACTAACCTTCAAGCTCATTGCGGAGAAGTCGAGACCTTTGAAAGGCTTGCTCGTTTTGACGTGCTCAGTTAAATTTTCCTTCGTCCACGGTCCATGAAACGTGACGACGTTTTTATCGCCGTAGGCGTCTAAACAGTTCGATGCCGCCATCACACGTGCTGCGAACTTGCCTGACAAAAGAAAAAGAACTCAGCTGCCGTTGACTCGGGAAATCTCTGTAGTGCAGCTGGGGCAGAGGGAATGATGGCTGAACATGCGCTTTACTTGCGGCGCGCTACAAGGTCATCTTTTTGGACTGTCCACACGCAGCGATTGCTTTTATTTTCTTGTGCGCAGTGGTGTGTGTGTGTAATTGTATATTTACCTATTTGCGACGACTCGGTTCGTTCCCTTCGTTGGCAGCCCAGGTTCCGTGACTGTCTCATTGAGGAGCAACAAATGTATCCACATTCGTGACCCGCAATGGATGTGAAACGCTGCCCGAGGTGTCCGTTCTCATCCCCTCAATTTACGAAGATTGTAAGCCACATAGGTTTAGCCCACAGCGCTGAACCTGGATTCAGGATTTTTTGTGGTATTGGCGGCTGTGCAAACACATACAAAATTTTTTCCTCATACCGTTCGCACCTCTACCGTCAGCACAAGGATGTGCTAGAGGAGAGTGGAAGCAACTTTTCAGGCTCTCATTCTGCGGCAACTGACAATGTCAGCTGTTCGCTGTTCGATCAGTTCTGCCCTGAGTACCCTTCTGATGTGAACTGTGCGGAGGGAATAAATGGCGGGGATCAGGCAAAGCAGCCGCCGCAGAAGAGCAGTGCAACGCAAAGCAACGGTCAACGTACCTTTGTAGAGCAAGCGAAGAGCACCTTGTGGAACTTTTTTTTTAGTGTGATTGATCAGCACAGCTTGCCACACACTGCTGTGGAAAAATTATTTTCAGAACTGCGCTTTGTTTTTGAGCAGTTGTTTGTCGCGTACGCGAATGAAATATCAAATGCCATGTCAACATCTCAGCCAACATCTATCCTGAATGATTTGCTGAAATGTAATTTTGTTGAACAAATTTTCAGTGGCCTGCAAAGCAGGCGAAAGAGGGATAAATATGCGGAGATGAATTTCCCTCTTGTTGCACCGAAGCAACAGATCATTGGCCAAAATTCTAAATATCACTATGTGCCACTGCCTAAGCTCCTTTCTGTTCTTTGCAATGTACCAGACATTGCTGCTCACCTAACAACGCCAGAGGCTGAGAACCACACACCTACGGTCTACAGAGATTTTACAGATGGCCAGCTGTACCGACAGCACCTTCGGTCTCTTGTCTCATCAACAACAACACACACAATTGTTCTTTTATTTTACTCAGACGAAATAGAGATCGTCAATCCGCTGGGTGCCAAGCGAGGCAAGCACAAGCTTCTGGCTGTTTACTGTACTCTTTTAAATCTTCATGTCAAATACAGGTCGCAACTGCGTAATATCTATCTGGTGATGATTGTACGGTACATTGATGTTAATCAGTACGGCCTGAAAGCTATTTTACAGCCACTAGTAGATGATCTTAAGCACCTGTATGAGCATGGCATGAGCTTTAATTTGGATGGCATGGAGCAGCGTGCTGAGGTGCTTGTTTTCGGCTTTTGCGGTGACAACCTATCACTGAACCACTTGGGAGGTTTTTCATGTTGTTTTAGCAGCGGTCGAGTGTGCAGATTTTGCATGGTGTCTTCAAAACAGCTTGCAGACAAAACTAGTGATGATGTGTGTCAAGCACGTACGGCAAACAGGCACCAGCTCCATCTACAAGCACTTGCTGTAAGCAGCCTTTATAACAAGCGTCTATATGGTGTGAACGAAGAGTCGCCACTTCTTGAACTGCCTTACTTTGACGTCACCCGCCAGCTGCCCCCAGATATTATGCACGACATCTTTGAAGGGACAGCTGAGTGTGTCCTGCGTGAAGTACTGAAAGGCCTCCTTTCCTCTGCTGTCATTTCAAAAAAAGATGTGGAGGACATCTCTTCATTTGAGTTTGGTCCCAATGACACAAAGAACAAGCCTGCTCAAATCAACATGACCTTCGTCTTGAAGAAAGCAAACCTGAGAGGGACAGCATCAGGCAAATGGTGTTTGCTGCGATTCATACCGCTTATGCTTGGAGGGAAACTTTCTGAGGGAAATGCGGACTGGGAACTTCTATTACAGTTTCGCGAGATCATGGACATTGTTTTTGCTCCGGAAATTGAAGCAAAGCGCCTCGCGTACCTTGATATACTTGTACAAACTTTCTAACAGAGTTTGCCAACAGGTATGGCCGCCAAGTTGTGTCACCAAAAATGCACTATATGGTGCACTATGCAAGGTACGTGCGTGAAGTGGGGCCATTAAAACATCTTTGGTCCATGCGCTTTGAGAGCAAGCACCAGGAGTTGAAGAAGCAAGCCCTGTGTGTGAAGAATTTCAAGAACATTACATTCACACTTTCAAAACGACATCAGCTAAAGCAGAGCTTTCAGATGAACTTCTACGAACTGTATGAAGGACTTTCAACATCGCAGAGCAAGCCCGTTGATGTCAGTAAACTGCCAGAGTGTGCCAAAGGGCTCCTACCTCCTACCACCCATGAAGTCAAATTTGCAGCGATTGACAAGTGCAAGTTCAGGTGTGGAAGTGTCTTGGTTTCACAAAACTCTGATTCCTTTGACTTTCTTCAAATCGAGTCACTTTTCGTCGCCAGTGGCAGGCTGTACATCCTTACGAGGACTCTGGTAATTGAGCGCTTTGACCGGCACCGGTTTTGTTATGTTGTTTCAAGGTCGGATCAGCAGCAAATTCATGAAACTGCTGATACCTTTGCTCCTTGCCTTTTGGATCTGTACAAAAATGGAGAAATTGTCCCAAAATGGGAGTTGTGGTAACTAATAGTTGGGGTTCTGTGTATTCAATTTATTTTGTAAGTAGTGACAAATACGGGCTCTGCTATAGAAGCAACGAAAAAGACGTTTGTTGTGGCGAGGCTCGTGCTACTGCAGCTGCTGCTGAAACCACTGGCTGCTGTTTCGCTGCTGTTAGGCCCATTAAACGGTTGCTTCACCCCGGCGTGGCGTCTAACAGTATTCTTACATTTGGTGGAGAGTGCTGGTTGTCTCAAACTGGAACTCCGTTCCCGAACTCTACCTCAACCTCTTGCCTCGCCAATTCCTGACGACATGACCCAGCCACCTGCAGTCATAATCCCATCTGTCACCTGTTCCGGAATGCCACGACAGCGAGATCCAGTGATTTTCAACGCGACCGACGACCAAGACTGGCTGGCCCAGTATGAAGCCGTAAGCGCTCACAATAAGTGGAATGACACAAACAAGCTCACTTACCTTAATTTATATCTCGCGGTTGTGGCAGAACTGTGGTTTAACAACCACAAAGTAAAAATACCCTCTTGGTCAACCTTCAAGACACGCTTTGCAGAAGTCTTTGGCCGACCCGCTGTTTGCAAGCTCCGCGCCGAACAGCGCTTGCGCTGCCGAGCACAGCGCTCTGGCGAGACCTTTACCTCGTATATTGAGGATGTTCTGGACCTCTGCCGTCGTATCGATTCCGACATGTCTGACACTGACAAAATACGGCACATCATGAAAGGTATCGAGGATGACGCTTTTCACATGCTCGTTGCAAAAAACCCGCAAACCGTCGCCCAGCTTATTCAGCACTGTCAAAGTTTCGACGAGCTGCAGAGAGAGCGCATTTCTACTCAACGTCCTAACCTCGACACGACCTCTACATCTGCGTTGACCATTGGCGCTGTTTCCTCCGAACAAACCACGTTAATGCAGCAAATCCAGCAGTTCGTCCGAGAAGAAGTGTCACGCCAATTGTCTCTTGTGCCGTACGTCGTCCCGACCAGTGCGCACATGCTGACCCCAACGCTTCACAAGGCAATCGAAGAGCAAGTTTTTGACGCCCTGTCTCCCACATACCATCTTTCGCCTATCTCTGCCCCTCTCACTTACGCTGAGGTTGCCAGACCGCCGCTGTCGCTACCAACCGTCACAGATCTTGCTCGACAGCCCCGTCTTCTTTACGCAGCAAGTCCACCTATCCGTCCCCACCCACCTCCTGTTCGCCACCTCGCACCACCATCAACTAATCCTTGGAGCACTTCGGACAACAGGCCAATTTGCTACTTCTGCCGTCTTCCCGGTCACGTAGCACGCTACTGCCGTCGTCGGGACTACAACCCAACTGCTGGTGAGGCGACTTACGACTCCTATCGTCCAGAGCCACCACAATCATCTCCGTTCCCCACCACGTCGGATCAGTCGCCGCCACGTCGCCTGCAGTGTCACTGCAGCAGTCTGCGCGCTGACCTTTTTTGTTTGGCAAGACACATATGTAGCTTGCTATAGCTAGGCTTTGATTTGTTCAGCTTGTCTAATGTGGAATGAAACTTCTGGCACTGTTAGTATAAACCATGAATGTAAAACCTATGTTGCCAATGGTTGCTGAAATCTGTCAGCATAGACGTACGAAACAGCATATTTGTTTGCTTTTCTGATCTTTTAAATTGTTAGGTGTATTACAAACCATCTTAAGAGCATATTTCTACGACTGTGGGCCAGTCGTTTTATATTTCAAGCCTTTGCCTCAGCTGATGTACCGGTGCTCAACATTATTGAAGCCACATGTCAAGCAAGATGATGTGTGCTCTTATCTGCAAGGCTACCCCATAAGAAATAATAATCATAATAAGATTTGAGGTTTTACATCTAAATACCGCAATATAATTGAGGGATGCCATAGTGAAGGGCTTCAGAATTTTTGATTACCTGGGGTGTTCTTTAATGTACATTGGCATTGCACAGTACACAGCTCTCTAGCATTTTACTGCCATCAAAATGGGACTACTGCAATTGGGAACTAACTCGCGACCTTCGAGTCCGCAGTAGAGAATTGTAACCACTACACCACTGTGGCGTACTCCACGAGAAGTAAATGACCAGCTTCACTATGTCAAACTATCATTAAACTTCTTGAAGACATTCTTAAAAGATTTTTGGGTTTAAATTATGGCATCAGATTTGCCTCTTTGACTGTGAAAAGATCTTTCAAGTTTGCCAGTCATTAGGAAGAACTTTGGTGGCATAATAACAAAGAGTGGTGAAAGGTTTACTCTAAGAACTTCAGCAGGGAGGTTGGCCAGACGGTACTTCCTAGGGCAGTAGAAATTTACAAATGCAGTAGTGTGTTCTCCTTCAGAAAGATTCACAAGCCTGGTACTCTTTCCATGTCTTTTTTCCTTTGTGTAAGTCTAGATGCGTAAGTGTATGATATGTGTACTGTAAAGTATTGTGAAGTGTAAAGTGCTTGTGTACTATGTTTGAAGCACTGTTTTTGCCATTACTTTTATTACTTTTATGTGAGAAAGACTAGCCCTTAAAGCACAAATCTTGATGTGTACCGTGAGGCCTGGGATCTTCATGAAATAAAGTTTTTTATGTATTATGTCCTTATGTATCTACTGGTCATAGCTCGTCACAACACTGTAGTGGAGACCGACTTACATTAGAAGATAGGAATGTTCCAATTGTGCACCGGGGCTTGTTTTGTATGGGGTGGCATACATTTTACATCACTGAGACACAGAAGTATTCGGGGCCATGGTCAGTCAAAGTTAATGGTAGGTGTTGGAAGTTTAATGTTCCTGCAAAGTAAGGTTCCTGCAGAATGAGCTGAAGATTTTCGAAGTAGATCCCTTTGGCATTAATCTCTTCATAGACAATGTCTTCATAAATGCTAGGATTTGTTTCGTTCAGTTTTGCATGGAAAGTTAGTTTTCCTTCGTGTAGTGTCATTTATTATATAGCAGGTGCAATTGTCGAAATAATATATGATGATGATGTGTGGCGCTTTATGGCGCAAGGGCCAATTGATGGCCAAAGAGCACCATTTCGATAGACTAGAGATATGAACAATGATATATATTGTAAATGATGAGAGGCTGTAAAGGGGCCTTAAAATTCCCCGCGCTAATGCGGGTAAAAACTTAAGTATTAAAATCATGACAGTGGCGTGACATATGTGCAGTGAGATTGAATGTCAAAAGGTCATGATAATAAGACTATGGCGGAGATGTAGTCACCACATGTCAAAATAATAGAGTTTTATGTGAATGTGACATTAGCTTTGAGAATGAGCCCTACCTTATGCGATGAGTAGTATTGGTTTCTCAGTCGTACTAGTTCTGTATGACTTTTTGCAGATGTATACATAGGGGATTTCATGACATTTTTAAAGGTGGGCGGTATGTAATAATTTTGTGATATGTGGATTAATTTAGATGTCTTGAGATAAACTTGATAATCATGTATTCTCGTTAACTGTAGAGAGCGAGGTAGGGCCTTAATTTTACTGTAGAGAAACCTCACAAACCTTGCTTGAAAGTTTTATATCTGCGACTCGTGTAATGACAATAAGCTTTGTTGGTGCTATCAATTCAGAGTAAACAGACAGCTGTGGCTGTTTGATACAGCACATTGTAAGATTGTTAGATGTGTCAGCTCATTTTGCTTCAAGTCTGCACTGATCAAATCATGCCTACACAAGATGCAGTGAAACTTAAAAAACTAGGTGAGCCAGTTTTTGGCTTCAAGCTTCTCGACTTCCATCATTTCCGTAATTGCTGAGATGCTATTGCAGAAGTGAAAATGTGGAGCAGGTGAGAGATGGCTGCCATGCTAAAAGATCAGACCTCAAGTTGTGCCCGATATCCACAAATCCTCCCATAGTCTCAGCAAAGTTTAGGGTAGGTACACAGTGCCGAAGGTCCTTTCAACACCCAAGAAACTTGGGAGGCTATGCCCTTGCGTGTGCAATGCCAAGCAACCTGGCAGTGCAAAAAAGCCTGCGACTACTTTCATGCAGTGTTCCACAGGAGTTGTTACTCTTCCATGCAGTAAAAAGTCTATTAGGCAAACTGAGTGACATTTGAACAGTCAAATGCGAGAGCTTTTGCACAAGAAGTAAAGGAAGTATGTACACTTGATTGTGCATGATGCATCTAGTGGCTGTGAGCCACCGTTCATGACATGAAAGCTTTTGGCACAAGTGCAAGAAAAGTGAAACACGTTTCCCTAGAGGCCTTTTTCAAAATTTAGAGGATCGAGCACCACTGAAGCATCTGTAACTTTGTCATCTGCAATTTACACTCTTCTAGTTATTAAAAAGTGTTATTGACTACTCAAGATCAGGTTCTTTGGTGCCATACAATTTGAATAAAATAAAAGCGTACCATATTAGTTTACAGTATGCTATTTTTAGCAAATGTCAGCTGAACCTGTCAGATATTTTCACTTGCTATAAGTAATTGTATAATTTTGTTGGTACTGACCTTACTATTCACTGCCCACTCCATCTGTATTGTTTTCCACAATGTTGATATTTTTTTCTGTGTTAAGCATCATTGATTAGCTTGCTACCAACATATACCTGTTACTAGCCCTACTACTTGCCTTTGGGTGATGGGCAATAAAATATTTGCAAGCAATTTGTATTTGCTGTATCAGTAATAAAATTCAAATCGTGATGGGACAAGAAGTCACTAATGGCCAATTAGCTGCATTTACTGGTGCTATTACTTTGCTTTCACTTTTTCATGGCATTATTATTATTATTTAATTTTGATACACAAGAAACACGAAAACACAAGCAAATGAGGATGGAACAGGCTCACAACCGCCACCTAATGGGGCACAATGCGGGTTCGCCTTGTTGGATCAGTGGCTTGGGTGCTCGGCTGCTAACTCAAAGGTCGCGGGTTCGATACCAGCCACGGCAGTCACATTTCAATGGAGGGGAAATGGTAGAGGCCCGGGCACTATGCAATGTCAGTGCACGTCAAAGAACACTAAATGGTCAAAATTTCGAAGCCCTCCACTGTGGTGTTTCGCATAAACATGTGATTTTGGTATTTAAAACTCCACATATTATTATTAGGGGCACAATGCCTGCCTTTAGTTGTGCAATATTCGCAAGCAATTTCAATTTGCTGTATTGGTAATGAAGTTCGAATGATGATGGCACAAGAAGTCACTAATGGCCAATAGGCTTGATTCACTGGTGCTATTATTACTTTGCTTTCACTTTTTCATGGAATAGAGGAAAGAAAGGTAGGAGAAAGTGAGACTTAACAAGGCCTGTGAAGCATTGACTAAAATTTTATGACTAGCGCAAAAGAGATGACTACAAATAATGGAAAATTCAGTGCAAATAAAGATTGCAATAATGCTTGTGGTCACAAAGCACACGATGGTGCAGCGTCCACTTGGACTGTAAAATAAGGCAAATAAATGTGGACATCCAGGCAGATAAGCTTGTCTTGTTTCTTCACTTATCATTAGTTTTCTACATTTTGCATTGACATCCTTTGCCTGGACAGATTTCAGTCATCTCGCATTCCAACGTGCCTTATACTTAATGAACTGCATGCTCTTGCAATTTAGTGGAGAGTGAACGCTCTCTACATATCATTGGTGGTGATAGCAGACCTTTAGCTGGAGGGCTATTTGAATTGATTGCCTCAAAATCCCCGGCGGTCAGCCTAATGAGCATGTAGAACACACACATTCTGCAGGAAACCTATTTGCTACTTACAGATCTTACTGTGACAGGCTTAAGCTGTTTGGTAGTTTTGACTATGCACAAGCACAATGAGTTCTGAAAGTTCAACGATGCACTGTATCGCACTGCTGATTTAATGTGCCCATAGTAGAACTAGTGTGACGATCACGCTACCAGCATACTTGCTGAGACAGAGTGGGTAACATATCTTTCATGTCTTTGAATAGATTTGGACAGTGAGGTCTGGGACCTTTGGAGTGACCCCATGTCGATAATCTGTATTGTGACTTGGAGGACCGCGGAGCGTGGGGGAAGGGGAATCATAACAGAGATCTTTGTCACGAATGGGTTGAAGGAGGACAGGTTTGCAGCGCATTCGGTTGTGGCATAAAATATTGTGGTCCAGTTGGCACAACCTGAGCAGTCGTCCGCATTAAAACTAGTGGGGGCTTGGTAAATTATTCAGAGATGAACAATTTAGAAAAGTATTGGTCTGTGATTGGCATAATGCTACTGCCTCCTCTCGCGAAAAAGATAACTAACGATATGGCGCGCTGCGAAGTGCGACGCCACTATATACGGAATGGTGGACAGTATCCTGGAGTTTGCACCCGCAGAATGCAACTCCTACGGTTCCTGAAGCTAAGCCCAGAATTGGCTAGCTTACCGAATCTTGATTATCCAACATTAAGGGCCAAGCGACATTCACAAATTGTCAACTTTTGGGGGCAATCAGCCGACTGTGCAGAGAACGAACAAACGACGATGTTTTTTTTATTTATTTACGCGGAGAAGCCGCAGCAGCACTTGAGGGCCTATCGACATTCAAGGCTTTGTATGAGAACCGTTTCGGCAACTGTAAAGGGATAAGTGAGCAGCACCTTTTAGCGCTTCGCATTCTGCCCCCCGTAGTCGGGAAGAGGCCTAGGGCAACTTACGATGCCGTGCAGTTAAATATCCACCGTCCGACTGTACTTTACGTTCCTGACTTTCCGAATTTCTCCAGAAAGCATTGCCATAGGTGATTGTTCTGGGACGTAATCGAGGAGAGCAGAGTCACGCGAACACTTTGGGCGCGATCAATGCAATGCCACCCACATAGGAATTCTTTAAATCACAGTCAACGTGTAACCGTCGCTGCTGCACGGTACAAATCCGGATCGTGTTTGACTGCCAAAACGCGATCTATGAAGCAGATCGGCCCGTAATCGCAACTATGAGTGATAGCGTAGCAGCACTTGCTTTGCGCCGGTCGCGATCAACCAGACGTTGCAGCGGTATGGCAACATCGGACTAATAAGAACATTCGTGATTCAGCAACGGCAGCTGCAACATCAGAAGAGTTGAAAGAGCTGGTTCTTTCACTCGTATCTATCTGGATATGTGACGGTGAGCCTCGCAACTCGTTATCACGGCAAGCTGCAATTCTGCTGAATTGTATGGCGTTTGGATGGACACACACCGTATGCGAAGTCCAAGTCGTCAAAAAAAAAAAGAACTGCTCGCTGCTGCTTTTATGACCTGCTTCCCGCGAGTAAATATTTAGCAATGATTCACGGTCAGTCTGCATGGCAACGCAAAGCGTCGCCCCAATACCAAGATAAGATCATGATAGACGCTGCAAAGGGCTCCAGAAATTTCGACCATCTGGTGTTCATCAATGGACACTGATATCGCACAGTACACTGGCCTCAATCAATTTTTTCCCCTCCATCGAAATGCGACCGCCGCGGCCGTAATCAAGCCACGACCTTCGGGTCAGCAGCCGAGCACCATAAACACTGCTCCACCACGGCGCGCACCAGTCCCAATGAACGGTTAACTAGAAAAACGACAGATACAGGGGTGGTCAAAATTAGTTCTGAAGCCATGGATTATCATATATGTATG